GTTGTATAATAAATTTCAAGCCTATGATTTTCTTCTCATCCTCTAACAAAAATATAATAATAATCCTAAATTTTTTTTATTTAAGCAGTCCTGCCTTTATTCATATAAACTGTTATATGATTTATATACAATTTGTACTAAATTCTTACAATCTATAGCTCTACTTTAATAAAGACTCACCAGGAATAAAACCCAATGCAACTTGCTATATCAACTATTAACCTCTTGCAGGATCCTTAACTTGTTAAGGATTTTGTATTAGAATGATACTTCACTTGATTATTAGTAGGCTGTTATATGCCTCATCAAAACCATCTATCTTTCTTTAAAACTTTTCCTACCTAGGTCTAGCCAAAATAGTTTATCTCTTATATTTGTATAAGAGAAGAAAATAAATACTATATTTACGAAAGAAAAAAAGATTTAGAAGAAGAAAAGAACATATAGAAGAAAAAAAAGAAAAATAATCTAAAAATAGTTCGATCATAAATAGACAAAGATGAGAAAAGCAAAAAAAAGATTGGTAATTTTAACATACTTCTAGTGGGAGACAAAAATAAAAGAAAAGGAGAAGGAAAAACAAAAGAAATATAAAAAGAAATATGCAGTATATAGTGGCTTTAGTAGCCTAAAAAAATTATATGATACTAAGTATTGAAGTCTCTGCATTATCTATAACTACTATATTATATGTAATCGGTATATGTATTATTTATTTCAAACATGTGCAGAGATTAATACGTGACTCCTAGTTTTCTGATTTGGATTGTGTAAGTACTGTCAATCAATTGGAAGAGGCAAACCAGATTGCCTACTTTTCGTTGAAAAAACTTTGAAACAGAGAGAAAAATAGGAAGTAGCCAACTTGAGAAGGATAGTAAGAGTTACGCTATACAGAGTATTATGTCTAACTAAGTAACTACTTCTGCCGAGACTTCTGTAGTACTTAACAAAGCTCCAGAGCCTGTCTGCTACTTCTTTGCTTAGTAGCACCAGAGTCTTCTGCCAGGTGATTTCGCTTTTAAGAGCGACTCTTTTCAAATCTATTTCACTTATGCCAACATGTAGTGAATAGCCACTAATTCCTGCTGCTACTAGTGAAGTTTTGTAGAATTCAAACATATTAACTGTATAGTTTTCATAGGTTAGTCTTTTTGAAGAAATTGGTATGAAGGATCATTAGAAAGAGTTGTAATATATAGTATTGAATAATTTTTTTTTGTTATTATATTTACAGACTATTATAATAATATAAGTAATTTGGGCAAAATTACAATATATTAGTTTTGTATTGAAATAATTGTATTTCTGTAGTGATTTGCTGTAAAAAAATCCTGTTACTATACTTGTCAACTATTGTGATAGTATAAGCAATTTAAATAATAGTAGTTAGTTTTGTATTGAATTAATTATGATTTTTATAGTGATTTGCTATAAGAAAATTCTGCTACTATACTTACTAACTATTAAAATAACATAAGTGATTAGATATAGTTATGTTGGTTTGTATTAGAAATTATAATTTTTATAGTAATTTGTTATAAAAAAATTTAGTTATATATTATACTTGTTGACTATTGTAGTAATATAAGTAATTAGACAGAGTTACAGTATATTAGTTTATATTGAAATAATTATGATTTTTATAGTAAATTGCTGTAAAAAGTTCTACTATTATACTTATTTACTATTGTGGTGAGATAATTGATTTAAACAAGGTTATATTAGTTTTGTATTGAAATGATATAGTTTCTAAAATGATTTACTGTAAAAAATTATATTATTATACATACTTGCTAACTTGTGTAGTTATATAAGAGATTTAGATAGAGTATATTAGTTTTGTCATAATTTTTACAATGCTTTTTGCAAAAAAATTTTGCTACTATACTTACTAACTATTGTAATAATATAAAAGTGTTTTAGACAAGGTTATATTAGCTTGTGTTGGAATAATCATGATTCTTATAGCGATTTGCTATAAAAAATTTTTTATTATACTTACTGACTATTGCAATAAATTAGATAGGATTGTGCTAGTTTAGTATCAGAATTATTATAATTTACATTAAAAAAATTTTTATAATGATTTGTTACTATACTTATCTGCTATAGTAACATAAGTAATTTATGTTATAAAAAAATAATTTCTGTTTTTAACAAAAGAAAACAAAATTCTATGTATTAAAATTTCAAGCACAAAATCAATTACAAATATATTGCTACATCTTATGATCTTCTATATTAAAAATAACTATTAAAAATTATTATTGGCTACTATTTACAATACTTGGAATCTTATTTAAAAACTCTATTTTTTTAATAATAGATAGTACTAGTGAGTACTACATAAAGAACTAGTACTATTTTTGGGATATATAGATTAAAGCAGTAAATTAATATAATTATACCTAAGTCTTATTAAAGAAACAGAATAGTAAGTAATATTTGAGTTTTAATTATTGGGGTATTATTTTGCAGTGATCAATAGTAATTACTCAAAAAATTTTTAACAGTTTTTGTATTCAGATAATAAGTCTAAATTTTGTACAATTCATTATTTGATAGTATAATTTCAAACTTTTATTTCTTTTATTTGTTAACTATTATGTTTAATAAGAAATATTAATATAAAAGAAAAAAAAATTTTTGAATCTTGTTGATAAACATTGTAAAGTATAAAAATCAATTAACTTTCATCTTATAATGAATAAACTAAAGTTGTAATATAAAAAAAAATTTACTCTATATAATATTATTGACTATTATGAATGTATTTTCAGGACTAGTTTAAATTAATATTCTTGTCTTGGTTTTGGGTCATGACCATTTCAAGATTTTTTTTTGATCAGCTTTGCTTTTTTTTTACAGAAGTATATTTTCCTTTTCTTTTTCTTTCTTATATCTAATTCTTTGTTTTTTTTTTTTTCACACCTAATTCTTTTTTCCATTTCTTTTTTGGATTTAATTTTTATTTTTTTTTGTTGGCCAATAGCCTTGCTTTTTATAAAGTTGTTAATTATTAGATGTTTTAGAAATACTAAAGCATTCTCATAAGTTAAAACAAAATCATTATTAGTATTATATAATGCCTTCAAATATTTTTTGAGATATAATATAAAATCTGCATATTTATAAAAGTTTGTTGCAATTTTGTTTGTGATTTCTTCTGATAGTTGATGAATATATATAAACTAGATTCAAGAGTCATCTTTATCAAATGATTCATGTAATACTAAAGTTCCTAGATTTTGTAGTTGTATATGGCTATAAAAATTGACATAGTCTTTTGCAAGCTCTAACTTGAGCAAGTCTTTTTGCTTGCATTTTGGAAAGTGAATAAGATCGAGTCAAGCAAGAGACAGACAAACCACAACTGCAAAGGAATAATGATAAACTATTCTAGCAAATTTGAGATTGTAGCAGCAACAAGCAAGTATCTTGCTATTATAGTAAGTATAATATATAACATTAGACCTTTTATAATATAACAACTCAAAACAATATACTCTATTGTTATTAGTTATTTCTTTATACATATATACATTCTTTTTACTCTATTTTGCTTTAAATTTCTTTCAGACATATCTCATTAGACAACTAGTAGCCTGGTTTTTAATTAGATTTAAAAAATCTGAAGATATAAAGTAAACAAGCTCTTTATAAGCAGAAATATATTTTGTCTTTTCATGAAAGTAAAGTATATACTCAAAGGCTACTAAAAATTCTGTAAGCCTTGTTTTACAATCTACAAAGCTCTTTAAAAGACTGTTCATTAATTCACCTCTCTGCATTAGCAATATATTAGCAAAAAAAATAATTTTTTAAATATACCAGAGCCTACCGTTTATACCACTAACTAAAAACTTCCAGATACAACTATGTTTCGGCATAGTTTTCATTTTCTATTATATATTTCTATTGCTTTTCAAACTTATTTTTGTCAATATAATAACTTAAATATTTTATAAGATTTATATAAAACATGTTATACTTCATTCTAAACTTAAAAATCATATTAAACCTTATATTCTTTGCTATATACCAGATACAAAGATCATGTTTTATACTATACTTATTAGTAAGAACAGGACGGATAGCATTTGCTATCATGAGATTGTTATCAATAAGAATAGTATTAGATATGATACTGAATATACAAATAAAAGCTTCAAAAAGCTATTTAAAACTCAAAAACAGTTTGTTACAAAGTAGCATACTAGCAGTACAATAAGAAAGACTATTATTAGTAATATCTGTAAATACCTTAAAAGACATTGAAAAATAATTGCTTTTATATATATTAATATATAATCATGTCATAAGAACACATATATTGTTATTTTTGTGTAGCATATACCCAAATTATATATTTTAATTAGTTATTTTTATCCAGTTTAAATTTGTAAAAAAATTTAGGATTATTATTATATTTTTGTTAGAGGATGAGAAGAAAATCATAGGCTTGAAATTTATTATACAAC